TAGTCATGATGTGCCTATATATGGTCATGATGTGCCTATATATAGTCATGATGTGCCTATATATAGTCATGATGTGCCTATATATATATAGTCATGATGTGCCTATATATGGTCATGATGTGCCTATATATGGTCATGATGTGCCTATATATATAGTCATGATGTGCCTATATATAGTCATGATGTGCCTATATATGGTCATGATGTGATGTCATCATATTTATATTAGTTAGACATGTCACATGTTTTTGTCAAGTAAAAAAAGATAGTCTAGACACGGATTAAGGAAAAACTATTTTCCATTCTGAGATAATAAGCTTTGTTCAAATTATCAAACTATCTTGGACAAAAAAACTGTTTGATGCCCATATATAGTCATGATGTGCCTATATATGGTCATGATATGATGTCATCATGACCATATGCATGTCACATGTCAAATAAAAAAAGTTGGTCTGGATGGGGATTAAGAAAACTATTCTCTATTCTGAGATAATAAGCTTTGTCTGGATTATCAAATTTTCTTGGACAAAATACTGTTGTCCCATATATAGTCATGATGTGCCTATATATAGTCATGATGTGCCTATATATGGTCATGATGTGATGTCATCATGTCCATATTAGTTTGGCATGTCACATATTTTTGTCAAGTAAAAAAAGATAGTCTAGACACGGATTAAGGAAAAACTATTTTCCATTCTGAGATTTGTTCAAATTATCAAATTATCTTGGACAAAAAACTGTTGGATGCCCATATATAGTCATGATGTGCCTATATATGGTCATGATGTGATGTCATCATGATCATATGCATGTCACATATCAAATAAAAAAAGTTAGTCTGGATGGGGATTAAGAAAACTATTCTCTATTCTGAGATAATAAGCTTTGTCCAAGTTATCAAATTTTCTTGGACAAAATATTGTTGTCCCATATACAGTATAGTCATGATGTGCCTTGCCTATTATTGTTATGATGTGATGTCATCATGTCCATACCTGTGCGTGTCACATGATTTTTTCAAATGAAAAAAGATAGTGTGGACAAGGATTAAGAAAAGCTATTCTCTATTCTGAGATCATAAGCTCACATTTTGCTGAATTAACTCTTCTGTAGTGGGCATCCAAATGATCTCGCACCATATTCTGTGATACTAGTCTTGTACATCCAGTCGATGCATAAACTTTAAAAGAAAGAAAGTTAAATTGTTTTCCCTTTTATTATGAAATAAACAAATTTTACACTTTGGTTAAGTGACAAATTTTATTAAGAAACTATTAATTCAGCTATGACTGTACTAAGATTATAAATAAAAAAGAAATTAATTAATTAAAAAGAAAAGTTTGTGGAAAGAGATTATTTATTTGTTTGTATTCATTGTATATTTAGTAACTAATTGTAAACTGTTTTATCATGAATGATTCTTATACGGTTTTCAACATTTTGAATGTTTTTATACTTAGTGATTTGTTTAATCGTTTTTATAGTGATTTTTATATTGTATTTACTGAATAATAATAATAATAATAGATTTATTCTTATATAGCGCAGAATGCTGGAAACCTCTATGCGCTATACATTAAAAGCAAAAGCCGGATCAAAATTTACAAAAAAAAAAGATAATTACAACAGTGAGTGAAAATCAGGTTAATTTTATGATATATTTATATTATTTATTTATTTATGATTATAATAATAATGTTTAATTAAAAAAAATTCAACAAGTTTTAATCTCAATTACCTCCTCATTCCATTTTATTATTCTTTCCATTTTATTTTAGATTTCTCATCTATGCAACTATTTCACTGTTTAAATTTTCTTATGTGTTTTGCTTGTCGTTTCTTTTCTTTCTGCAGGCTCCCTATTATTAGCATTAACGCTGTTGGAAATAAAATAAAATAAAAATAAATAAATAAATATATAACTCACCACTGCTTTTGACTGACACATGTCCCTTGTAAGGTCCTTTCGTGGGGGTTACCATATGCCTTGGTGGTAGTTTGGTAAATGCTAAAAGGAGAAGATTTCAAGATTTTAAGATTATTTATTACTAAATATGCTGTTGAGAACCATCACGTGCTTCACAAATAATATAGTTAAGATATTCCTTTAAGCAAACACTTTAATGAGAATTTGGATAAGTTTTGATGGATCGACATGAAGGGTATAATGAATGCTCAACTACTATTACTAAAAGCATGTAGCACAAAGGTGAGGATCAGTTGCTCTAACCCTGTCCCTTCTATCAGATTTTATTTGAAAAAAAACATGTGACAGGCTTAAATATGGTCATGATGATGTCACATAATGACCATAAACAAGGATCCCAAGTTGGAAGAAGTCAATTCCGGGAGCAGGGGAGGGGGGGCAGGGTCCCGTTTGGGACAGCTGACCCCCTTAACCCGTTGGGAAAAAAAACAAACCACAATTAGTCAGGGAAAAATAAATTATATGTACTTTATTTTCTACATTTTAATAGAAAATTGTGAAACTTTGACGGGCTTTGCAATATGGGGGAGCAGAGAGGGGCTTCACAGATATAGGGTCTATACCACCTCAATCCTACCATGGTTGAGGCTGAGGTAAGAAAATTTATGATTATGGCACCTCTAGATGGCCGGAAATAGCACTCTTAGACTTACTGTAAATTTAAATATGATTTTATTTTTCTCTCCCCCCCCCCCTTTTTTTTTTTAATTTTAGAAAATATTGGGGGTGGTTGCTTCCCTCTTGAATCCACCACTGATCTGGTTAATGAGCTTTCATAACATTTAATTTCATTTTGCTGCACATTGTGATACACATTGGCAATGACTTCCATCAGACGATTGAAAATGAAGCAGTGAAAACATGCAAATATTATGAATTTGTGGGATATGGGTTAATGTCTGGGAGATTCTTACTTGCATGATGGGGTGTGCAAGGCCATCCCGTTTTCCGGGAGACTCCCGCGAGTTCCGGGAGACTCCCGTGAGACTTTGGGCCCCTGCGTAAATGGGAGAATATTTGATAGTGTGCACAAAGCTTTGCAATCCTAATGCCCAAATATGGGTGTTGAAGGCTGACAGAAGTGAATTCAAGAAACTAGAGTATAAATAGAAATCAAAAATTATATTTAATTTACACTTAGTCACCATTTCCAGCTATTGAGAGATACCGTAGGCATAAAATATCATACCATAGCCCCAACCATGATGTGGCTGGACCCTCCTGGGGTCCTAAGTTGGAGTAGGCCAGTTCCGGGATATCTGGTTAAATGAGCTTTTTTTAAACACATCTATCTTTACCTATAGGCACTGTTTTTCATGAGATAATTCATCAGTTAGTAAAAACATGCAAATATTATGAATTTGCAGAAGATGGGTTATTTTCTGGGAGAGTCTTGCTTGCTTGCAGGAGTGCGGAAGACTGTTCCGATTCCCGGGAGGCGTGGGACCCAGCTGTGATAACAACCCACCCTGGCAAGGAATTCCATTTATTATTCACTCTTGGATCTAAGAATTTGCTTTGTTGAGTCTCATCTTGGCTTGTTCAATTTGTAAGATAACCCTCTAGATATGAGGATGGTGGGTAACTTATTAACCTATAGTTTGGCAGGTTCCGGAGCTATCAGACAAGACTTACCTTCTTCTTTGGGCTTTTTTCTGGATGCCATTTTCTATCGTTGTAGCTCCCATTTAGGCGTTGTTGTGGATGTCCTGTAATATATAGTACATAGTGCACTACAGGCTTATGTCACTACCACAAATAAAGACAACATAGAAAAAAACAAAAACAAAAGAGCATTACACAACCAGCAGGCCATAGATAGGCAGACAAAAGTGCAACCCAAGTTGTTTTAACCTATCGAAAAGGGCAAAAAACCAGGGCTGAAAAGACACATATTCCTCTGCCTAGCCGCTGTAGGACCGTTTCAACAGCAAACTAGTTAGGCTGCGTAGTATGAAACATGTTTTGTATTGTATGTTTTGAATCAAATCGATTAATTGAATGACTATAAATATATCCTATACTGATAATTATAAGATAATAAATATGTATATTGACTTAAAAGTAATAAAAATACTGTAGGAAAGGCAAAGAACATGTTTTATTTATAAATGTCAAGTCCCCAAGGGAAGCTTATGCAAGGCATAACATATACAAGAAACGAGCATAATTTTAAATTTAACAAACTTAAAATTCTCACTGGTAACTGGTATGGTATTCATATTTATATGTAAAGTAAGTATAGTCTATATTTTAATGAGACAAACAAAACACACTTAATTTTCCTGATTTTCTGAATGTTAAAAATACATGGCAGCCAAACTGGTTCGCAGCCGAAATGGTTGACATTCTAGCCTGGTCTATCTAGACTAGGCCTAACCTCCTTGGGTAGTACTCGTCATCTCAGTCTTTCTTTGCAGGAAACTACCCTGTTCCTGGGTGCTGTCACAATGTGTTAGGAAGCTTAGCCTTATTTCACTTTAGATTTAATCTGCTGAGCGGAGGTCACTCGATTGCTAAAAAACTTTCTTCCAAAACATTAATTCCCAGACCACCCTTGCCTAGCTTAGCTATACACTAACTAATCTAGGTCTACCACCTAGTTAGAGACAGGACGGTTTCTGGACAAAACGTCAAAAAAACAAAACGGCAATGACCAAAACGGCATAGACCAAAATGGCAAAGAAGCAAAAATCAAGGCCAAGACTGAAGCGCCACCAGGCGCGGGCAGCAGTTTATAATTTTCTGAATCGTTTTTTTTTTTTTTTTCACACATCCATGATGAAATATACCAAAATAAATATTGAATAAGAATGGTGTTAATTTTATTTGAGTTGTACTTTTTTTTGGTTATATTCTTTCTTTCCCTATTCAGGGAATCTATTCAAGTACATGGGCTGTTGGCCCTAATACTAAACATAATTTATTGTAACATAATACATTTGTTTCTTTTTTCAAACACAAAGTAGACGTATTTTGCTAAATTATTAATATATTTTGTATTTGAAAATAATAGACAGAGCTTGTGAATAGATGGATATAAGTAAATACATTTTGGAATATATTTGCTCCTTAAATCAGCATAATATGGTCATTGTAAAATAAAGTGAAATTCATCTTCAATAATATTGTTATTACATATCTTGCAGATTCTTTTGTCTCTATCAATATTTTCCCACCTCCCTGTTTCAATCTCAAGTTCCAGTATGCCTAATCTTAACTTTGTCAATAACCGTCTGTGTTTTAAATTACTAACATTCGTATAATGATAGCTTAAGCTTATTTCTTTTTTATACAGAGTGAATAACCTTAGTCTAGAATATAAACTAAATTTACTGTGTTTAATACACTTTTGTTTTTCAATATCACAAAGACGCAACTTAAATTCATTCAGAAAAGAGGTTTTGTCGTATACAAACTGTTGAAACCAAATGTAACCAAATCCATTAGAACAAAGTAATTGTTTAACCTGTAGTGCCCAGCAGTTCTCGTTTCTACTAACTTTCCTCAACTGAAACTCATAGCATTTAAATACAAATCTATCATGATTTAATGAAATAATGTGCAACCAAAATCTAATAATGGTCATTAAACAATTTATTTTAAGCGGTTAGTATTAGTAACAGCAGTTAAAATAAAACCATCAAACCGAAGTAAATATGAGTTAACAGCACCTTGAATATAAGGTGCGAAATCAAGAGGGTTTTTTTTAAAGGTTACGCCCATGGAACATACTTTCAATAACCTTTTATTTAAAAAAAGGCGTTTTAAGCAAACTATTGTTGATTCGGTAATTCAATTATTAACTGTGTTGCCTACTGTTTATGGTCAACTGGTTGACTTTTTATTGTCGTTTTCGTCTTGCTGTTTTGACTTAATGTCGTTTTGACTTAGCTTAGGCCTAATGCTGTTTTGACTTAATGCCGTTTTGGTCCATTGCCGTTCTGGTCTAAAAGTGTTGCCGTTTCGACTTATTGCCGTTTTGGTTTTTTGCCGTTTTGACCTGTCCCCGACAGGACTAGGCTAGGCTATGCCTCCAGGCCAAGGCAGGCCTTCCCGTCACCTAGGCATAGCTATGTCCTAGGCATACGGCTGCGTGGGTAGGCTCTACGTGGCCGCTCTAGCTAGGCTAACTAGCCTAGGCCTAGTCTAATCTAAACGTTAATACCATAGTTTCGGCTTAAAAAGACAGCTCTTCTTGTCAATTTATACAACAATTCAACAACACACCTTCTCGTACGCACAGATAATACAAGTTGTAAATTAACTCGATTTAGCAGGCTTTTAGCTGAGCTCTTTTGCAGGAAAAATTCTTATTTTGATGATACTGTTCTGCTTGGTGGCGTCGTCAGTTGTCATCTCAACCGCTGATTGCCAGGTTATTATAAAAATCTAGCCAATAAAACAACTCTAGGCCTAGAGTTGCACTGACATCAATGTACAGTATATAATATTATATAAATTTTCCAAATGAATAATAATTGATTGGCAGAATTACTCTGAAATATACACTTGATAAGGCCAAAAAAAAAAAATAAAAAAATAAATTGTTTGTTTGCCCTTGCCCTACTATTCTTCTTCTAAAAATTATAAATGTGGGTGGAAATTTTATTTATTTATTTATTTATTTTTTTTATAGATACTCATCAGATGAAATAAAAATAGCCCACAAAGGCTAATTTGTAGGGCATCTGGCAAAGTATAAAAATTTAAATTCACTCAGATTTTTTTAAAGAAAAAAGCTAAAAAAACTTATTAAGGTTTTTTTTTTCCGCCCCTACTTTTTTCATTGAATTAGGGCCTGGTGGAGGAGGGCAAACAAACAATTTTTTTGGTTTAGTATGAAATAGCTAGGAATATAAACAAAATATAAGAAAAGAACGTTGTGATATATCTATATTGTTTATATTTTCCCTTTGATGTCAGCATCTTAATTGAGCCTTTAAAAAAGCTCTCACGCCAAGCACTATTAAGCAATTAGAATAGTTGCGAATCACACACTATTGGAAATTATTTATACAATTAAGGGTTAGATTAATACACACAAAAAACATTTTTGAAATAGGTCTAGAAGGCCTCAAATACTCATATAAAATGTTCAGTTTATTTAGTTTATTAGGGTTCATTGATTCAAGGACGGACATATAATATCTAATTTGAAGTGACTTTCTTCGCAATGGCGTATCTGGAGGCTGATGGGGGCGCGAAGGTGAAGTGGGTCGATGGTCAGTTGAGGGGGCGCAAACTCGCAAAATAAGGTGATTTTAAGTGCTCTTTAATAACGACTTGACAGTGATTTGTTTTTAGGGAGGGGAGAGGCGATGATTAAGTGAGGGGGTGGTAGGTCTCAAAATAAGGTGCTATGAGATGATTTTTAACTACCAGTAGGCCTACTTGATTTTTTTGCCTCGACATATAGGCCTAGGCATATTCATTGGGAGAGGGGAAAGCTAGCTTTTTAGGGGATGATGCGCCCCTGCACTCCTAGATACGCCTCTGATCAGCCATAATTTCTTTACCTAATTATCTCTTCTTAACATGTTGTAATTATTTATTGTATCCTTTCTGTATGTGTATATAGGCCACTGTAATCGTAGCCACAGGAAACTGAATAAAAGTTAGAAGAAAGCTATTATTTGACCAATAAAAACTTTAGCACGTGAAAATATTGAAGTAAATTTGTCGTCAGAATTCACAGCTTGTAAGCATATGTTTTTACGAAATCAGTATTTACAATTTCAGTGTAGGCCTGCTGAGAAAAATACATGTTGCAATTGTTCAAATTTGGGACTCGCACGCATGTGGACGCGGCTCAACTTCACTCCTCCTGCCATGAGAGGCACTGTTGAGCGTAGCCAGAAATAATTACAAAACCCGGGTGGTTTCAGAGAGAAAATGGTGGTCTTTTTGAGTCCGGTGGCACTGATCACAGGCGATGAAAAAAATTAAAACTTAAAATGATTGGCCTGTAAATATTGTGTATGGTTACAGTACAAGTCTTCATGTAAGTTGTATCAACACTAGGAAATTGCAACGTTTTCCTATTATACTAACAGATTTAATATGTTTGTTTACACCATGCAACACGACAATATACATCAAATTAAATAAGAAACAAAAAACACAGAATTATGTGGAAAAAAAACAACAACCTTACAATGCAATATTCAGTGAAATGAAAAAAAAAATCATGTGAAGATTCGTTATTTGTAATTTCTTTTACCATCACTCCACATTTTGTGTATCAAGATAATAATAGTAATATAGGCTAAAATGTCATTTGATAAACTTAATTGTATTTAACATGATATACAAACAAGGTCAGGCAATTAAGCCGGGTTCAAAAAGGTAAAAAAGTAAAAAAAAAAGTTAAAACAAAAAATAAATAGGCCTACATTTACAATATCGTACCTTACGAGTTGTATTATTATAATGTATTGTACCTTTTATTTATTTATATTAAAGTTCACACTGATAATAAAATCATTTTACCAAATTCATTTTCTTTTAATTATTAAAAAACAGCTTAAAAGGCGTTATCTAAACCAGGGAACAGAGAATCACTGTTCCCTATCTAAACTAACACCAGTGTTTGTAGCAGGTCATCTACTATAGTATGAAGAATTGGTTTAGTGACACAGACACAATATATCAAAATGAAGTAGCAAAAACCCAAAAGTATAAAGCAACACTAATTCGCTACTAAGTTGCTAAGCAGCTACGGGGACATCTTGCCCACTGGCGCCATCCAGGGTAGCGAAAGGGACGCTTTCAGTGGCGTAGCTACGGGCAGTGCAGCCAGTGCACAGCATTGGGGCTCGGGTCTGTTAGGGGCCATTCATGAATAGACCTAAAAATAATTATTTCAAGTAATTTCCAACTTTATATATTGAAGAATAAAACGGCCAGCGGAGCACTCAATAATATTCGACTTTTAGAGGAGTAATTATTGATTATGTTTAAAGGGTCCCCCAGCCGACCCTGTCGCACCCCATAATTATGTTCAAAATTACAAGAGAAATGGGAATAAAAAAAATTATTTTAAATTAGGCCTATATTATATCTGAGAGTGCCATTTCCGGCCATGATCTAGAGTTCTATAATCATAAGTTTTGTTACTTCAGCCCCAACCATAGTGGGGCTGAGGTGGTCTTCAGCCTCCGCCTGTGAAAATCCCTCCCTGGAACCTCTAATTCGAATGCCCTGACCGTGCCACTGCAATTGTTAAATTTTGTGTGCACCAATTTTCTTGATTAGTTTATTTCAGCTGCTGATAACGAATATGACCTAAAGTAGTTACGAATCCGAATCCGAATTAGTATTTATTACTATAGCCTAGTGGCGGGTCAGAGAATTCGAAATAGAGGGGCCCGGGAGGAAAAGGGTAAAAGAATCACTTCTTACGATGAATTTTCTGAGAACTTCAGGGAATTCCCCTATCACATCTAAGGGCCCGGCAATTTATCTTGCACTGGGCTGAGCCTTTCGCACCTAGCTACGCCACTGTACTCTTTCCCTTCCCAGACAGCAGCAGAAAACATCTTACAGTACATTCCCTTATTCCAATTTGGTACTAACTTTTGAAGTATCTATGTAAGAAAAAATACGAAAAAAGAACTTACTATCTATATAATAATAATAATAATAATAATAATAATAATAATAATAATAATAATAATAATAATAATGATAATGATAATGATAATGGTAATGGTAATGGTAATGGTAATAGTAATAGTAATAGTAATAGTAATAGTAATAATAATAATAATAATAATAATAATAATAATAATAATAATAATAATAATAATAATAATAATAATAATAATAATAATAATAAAAAAATAA